CTCTCTCTCTCTCTCTCTCTATCTCTCTCTCTCTCTCGCTCTCTCTCACACACACACACACACACACACACACACACACACACACACGTACTCGTTATGTAATTAGATAAGGTATTTATGTAATATCAAATTTAAATAAATAAATTCCATACAGGCCCTGTGATCCTATAGGGAGAAAACATATTTCGATATGTATTGTCAAACAGAGCTGCCCCGTAATATCACATATAAATTACCAAAAAAGAAAAAAAAAATTGATTTCATTTTTCATTTCAAATTTGGTAATCAGGGTGACATCGTAATTGTTTGCGAAATTTTAACTAAGAAATAACGTAAAAACAAAAAAAACTTTTATCTCTGTTTTTCTATTTATTTCAGGCCCCGGCCGGGCTAGGTGTCCCGGGCTGCACTGCTTGCATGGTAATCAAATATATATACGTAAAAATAACCACCACTACCCCCGCCGTCCTAAAGTCGGGGGGACCGGTAGCACAGGTCGAAGACGGCTACCGGTACCACACTGGGCAGAACCAGGGGAGTGGCGAAAATGGAAAGTACATCGAATTGCCGCTGCGATTTATTTCGTAGTTTAGAATTTTTTTATTTTTTTATTAATATTTTTCCTCGAAAGATCACGATCAAATCTACAGACCGTGTAATTTTCAGATTTCCTGACACATTCGTTTTATCGTGAAAAATCGCTGCAGTTGGCCTTCTTTTCCCGTTGGCCCACACCTGGTAGAGCGGCAAAATAGGAAAACGAGATGAATCGGTGCGGCATTTATTTCACCGTATTTTTATTTTTATTAATTTTTTCTGGTATTTTTCCTGGAAAGATTACAATCCAATCTACAGGATCTCAATTTTCCATATATTTTCGTTTATTCTTTCGAGCGAGAAAAATCGCCGAAGTTGACGCTCCCCACAAATAGACTGGAGCCTCGTTGTAATTTGAGAAAAGAAAGAGGGCCCCCCCACCACCACCTCTCTGTGTCTCCCTCCCCCTTTCGCCCGCCCCGAAACCCCCCCCGTTGGAAACGGGGCACGTCGCAAGCTGCCGGTAAGCTCTCTCTCTCTCTCTCTCTCTCTCTCTCTCTCTCTCTCTCTCTCTCTCTCTCTCTCTCTCTCTGTGTGTGTGTCACTCCCTCTCTCTCTCTCTCACACACACATAAACAAAAAAAAGAAAAAATGGCAGTGTATATTTCCATGTTCTAGTCGAACATGCATTCCGATTTCGAAAACGGTGGCCACGGTCGCCACCTCTACCCGCCCGAACCACGTCCCGCCAGAGGCCAAAAACGGGAGGGCCTGCTACCGGTACCTGCCACGCGAGGCCACGCCAGGCCASGGGAACGGTACCAGTAGCCCATGCCACCTCCCGTTTTTGCGAATTATTGAACCGGTAGGCCGTCGAACGCATACTCCACTGTTTTCCTTGCAGTTTCGAACTTGTCTTCGCCCAAACTTGGAGTGGACTGTTATTCCTGCGAATTCGAAACTGTGCAGCGGTCACCCGCGGAGTTATTTCTTCTTTTTCTTTTTGTTTTTCCTATTTCCGTGTTTTGCTGAGGGCAGAAACGCCCTTTGGCAGACTCTCACGTGTACCCAATGTTCTGTATACGTCTTTTCTTCTTTCCTTTTCTTTGTTTTTTTTCTTTTTTGTTTTGTTTTTTTTTCCGATGGGTACCAGAAAGAGAATACAATGGGACCCAGGCTCGGCAAAACTCGGTGCGCAGTGAAATTCAGGGCCAGCAAAAACAGGCTCGGAGGTAGTGGTGGTTTAAGGGTCGTCTGTAAGTTTCCTAAAATGGCAAATTTACAGTTGACCTTTCGGAAGGTCAACTGGCCATACATCCTCTAAAAGGTCAGTACGCCGTGGCTAGTGTAGTGCTCGTAGAGTCAACTTGACCTCTCGCAGGTTGAAAGGGCAGTCCGCCGATCTCTGAAAGGTCAAGAGTCCCAAGTCAACACCAAAGGGGCAAGTGAAAGGGCAGTCCCAGTCCACTCCGTTTTGCAGCAAGTACCAGAGTGGGACTGCACATCTTGAGGGCCTGGGACATCGGGCAGGCCCAGGCCACCAAACAAAACCGTATGAAAAAAGAGGCAGCGATCAGTCATGCACTCATTATCTGGGGAACTACGCCGAAGCACTGCTCGAGTGACTTGTGCGCTGAGTTCACCCGTGGTCAGCAAGAGAGCCCGAAGGTGGAAGAGGACAAGCGGCCATAGCCGCTAGAGATGAGGAAGATGACATCGGCCATAGCCGCCAGTGTGACGAGTTAGTAGTTAGTTTGTGTGTGTGTGCAGACATTCAGGGTAGATCCAAGTGTTGTGTGCGTACATGTGTGTGAGTGTGTCCAACGGTGGATACAGTGTTCAGGTGGGAATTCCAGACTGGCGCTCAGACGCCATAGCCATGAGATGTGACATGTTGTTTTGAGCCAAGTTCCTGGCTACGGCCATACCTCTGAGTTTTTTGTGTGGGCGCACTCCGCCATCTCAAGTCTGTTGCTGATATTGTGTCTGTGGAAGTTTCTGTTGCCATTGCCAGCTGCATGTATGCATGTTGAACGTGAGGTGAAGACAAGACTGATTGCAAAAATAAATAAATAAACGAAACAATTATACTTCAACGATCAGAAGACTTTGAACAACCTTTATAATAGACTCCTTAGTCTTATCCATAAGGTGTTCCTAGTACTTCCTACTGACAGGTGGTCAGCAAGATCCCATCAGATTTTTTCCTGCAATGATCTAGAAAGACATTACCCCAAGGAGCCAAGGACAACACAGGGGGTGTTTGAAACAGCAGGGCTTGTTTAAAAGAAACAAAGATTCTACAAACCAGATGGATAATCAAATTGCTTCTCTAGTCTCAATCCCTGCGGCATTTTGCGCTTCAGGTGCTGCTGCCAGACAAAAGTACCCTCCTCTTAAATCGAGGGACAAGGGAGTCGTTACTTCTTTCACAAGGGGATGTAGTGTTTTAACTCCTATCTTTTAGGTTGGTGCTTTTGATATGCATATGCACTTATGCATTTACAATAAAATACTTGGATTACCGCTAGGTTACTGTCTTAGAGATGAGCAACAAGACTAAAAGCACTTGCTGGTCCCATTTGGAATGAGATTTCTATTTGATCCATATCATGCTGATTCAGGCCACAGGTCATGATGCAAAAACCAGGCAGGCCCCTCACGAGAGCAAGAACATTAATACACGCCAAACTGAAATGAGTCCAGCCCGTCCTTCGGAACATGCGTTAAAATTGGAACGATACACAGAAGATTAGCATGACCACTGCGCAAGGATTTAAAACATGGCTACCGCGGACCCGGACACTGGACCCATCCGGACCCAGACAACCAGTCGGTCCGGATATGATCCGGACGTCTGCATATCCGGACTAGTCCGGACCATCCAGACATGGACCCGATCGGTCCGGATTGAAAAAAAAAATAAAAAATACTGGCAGGTCTCTTATGCATGTTGAATGCAGTGTCATCGTATAACTGTGACTCAAGTGGAAGCGTTCCAGGAAGACATAGCTGTTGGCATATATGACAAACATGAATGATCATTCCTTGACATGCACTGTGCTGGCACAGTCACTGCAAATCACAAACTACTGCAACGGAAGAAAAAGTAAAGAAAAAAAAAAAAGAGCACTCTGCAGTAAACTTGAATTAAGGTAAATATTAAATGAAGTTCAATACTTTAGCAGTTCAGAATTTAAAGTTCAAACTTAAGTTCAATCTCTCTCTCTCTCTCTCTCTCTCTCTCTCTCTCTCTCTCTCTCTCTCTCTCTCTCTCTCTCTCTCTCTCTCTTGCATGTGTGCACATGTTCGCACAGTCCACAACAGTAATGAGGGCTCTCTCTCCCTCTCCCTCTGCGTGCGTGTGTTTTAGATTTTCACCACAACAGCCCCAATTCCACCCAGGTGAACAGATTCAGAACCAAAGCAGTCTTTGTCCTATAATTAGACAGTTTTTTGGTTGTCCTTRGGGTACCCCTTTCATTGTTCTTGCAGCTCCCCTTTTACTGTGGCTCTTACGCACAAGGCTGCCCATGTTGATTGTGGTTGTGTGTGTGGCGGCGGCGGGTGGGTGGGACAGCACTCTGAAGTGCCTAGATCCGCCCTTTCTTCCGTTTGTCACTGGGGGACTGCGCTCTGCCTCCAACGGTCTGCCCAGGATGCAAGTAGAAAAAGGGCCGTTCCGGCCGTCCTGTACGGACGATACCGGCCGCAAAAATCATCAAAACATTTTTCAGGGGCCGCCCTGGACCCAAGGAACAGGTCTAGGGTGCCCACTTCTGTTTTTGAATTTCAGGATTTTGGCCCCTTCCGGACGGGCCTCCTACGGTCCGGCGTTCAGACACCAGACAGCAGACCGTTTGGACGCCTGTCCGGATGTCTGGATGGTAGCCATGATTCAAAACAAAAAAAAAAAAAAGAGATCCCTGAGAGACGTATTACAACTTTAGTCAAGGAGGGGCCTCTACTTCCCCCTTTTCAGATATCAGGGTTTTCGTTGCTTCTCGGGTCAAAGGAGGGTAGAAATAGCCAAGTGTAAAACAGCAAAGCAATCAAGTGACTCTGTGCACCTACCTTTCAGTGCAAACAAATGGAGAGGGATCACAAGGATTCTCACAAAACACGTACTGTTATTGTATTCCAAGGGGGTAAGTAGAGGGAAAGTTGAAGGTGCATGCTGCACAAACCGCCTTGCTGTAATGTCTTGAAGAAACAGCTTCGCAAGTTTGCACTTATCCCTGCAGTACAGACACCACCAAAGCCCTCTCTGCACTCACAGTCAAGACTTTTTCGTCATGATCCCCTCTATAATGAAAAGATTCAAGAGCACACACGCAAAAGCCGACGGTCCCCAAAGCTTAGCAAATAACCATGACCAAACAGGGCATGACAATCGAACATACCTTTGATTGTGCACCTCCTAGAAGCGTACAATTAGGTCTGATAACCATAGGCGCGACTGGGAAAATTGTCAGGATCATCCACTCTGGGCGCGTTCTCTTTGGGTTTAATCCCATTTTCACACAGTTTTCATCAGACACCAACTCCAACATATCGTGCACCTGCAAGACCACCAAAGCCATTGCATAAAAGGATCCTTTTGTGTTATCGACATGGAACTACTCTGGAGAGTGTGGCTCTTCAAGGAGAAGCAATTGAGAGAAGCCAAAGAAGACTAAGGAAAAGCAGGGAAGGAGAAAGAAAAAACAGAAAAAGATATGGCAAGGGAAAAAAGGAAAACAAAAGCAACATAGAATCGGGTACAAAAGGAGTAAAATGAATGGAGAAGGTGGGACCTGCAAATACGTGCCCGAATGAAGGACTACACTCTGAATGAGTCTATGTCCAAATTCTTCTTTTCCAAAATCAAGACGAATGCAAGAAACAACATGATTGAGTGGCTAAAGGACCAGGGGAAGACAAAATCGACCAGCATAGACATGGTAAGAATAGCCAGATCCTTCTACGCGGACCTCTACAAGTCCAAAACTCCCCCCCCCCCCCCCCCCAGCAGCGAACATCATCGCCCGCCAGCACATGATGACCTATCTAGAGAGAATGATCACCCATAAACAAACGGAGGACTTGGACAAACCAATCACCCTAGGACAACTCCACACAGCTCTGTCCCAGATGGGTAATGACAAAGCACCAGAGATCGATGGCCTGTCCAAAGAATTTTGGGTCCAGTTCTGACCCACATTGGGCAACGATCTCCTGAACTTCATTAACGACAGCAGGGAAAAAAGAGGCCTGGGTAAAGTTCTAAGCACCAGCGTAGTCCCACTAATCTACAAAAAGGGCGACAAGGCGGACCTTAAAAACTACAGACCAATCTCACTTCTGACAACACCGTACAAAATCCTAGCAAAGGCACTGGCTAACAAAATCATAAAACTAACAGACAAATGCTTCCATATCGACCAAGCAGGATTCATCCCGGGCCCATATATTTTGGATAATGTGATGGCTCTAAACGAGGCTGCAAAGGAGATTACAGAAAAACGAATGCAAGCGGCGATCCTATTCTTCGATTTCGAAAAGGCCTACGATCAAGTCACCTGAGACTTCCTCCACAACTGCATGGAAAGGATGAGAGTTGGTCCAAACTTCAAAGAGTGGGTAAGACTGCTGTATGAGGATGCCACGGGCAAAGTGCAGATAAACAAAATACTATCAGAAACTTACCCGATATCCAGATCGGTCCGTCAAGGCGACCCCCTTGGCCCCCCAATATTCCTGTTCATAGTGGAAGCTATTGCATCTTTCCTTTGCAAGGATCCGTCCATAGACCGCCTGCCTGAACAAAACCACAACCCCCTCCACGATTTTGTTCTCCCCACCGCACAAATGTTCGCACACGATCTCACGGTCCTCATTCGTGCTAATAACTCCTCCTTCCAGGCCCTGGCCCGTGCGATGGAAGCCTTCAGACTCGCCTCATAAATGAAGGTAAACTGGTCAAAAACGGAAGGGTGGTGGCTTGCAGAAGGACCCCCCCACAATCTCCATACCCAGATACCCCAATGTCGTGGACCACAAGAGACCAAGCACTCCGATATCTGGGCATCATGGCAAACAGAGATGACATCTGGCAAGGTATGGGGGAGACTCTAATCGCTAGAGCAATAACCCGCCTAGCCAACTATAACAAAGCTCAGGCCTCCCTGTCGGGAAGAGCTTTGATCATCAACACAGCAGCATTCGCCACTTGGTTGTACATGGCCTCCATATGGTCTCCTCTCGAAGAAGCTGAAGGCTAGAGCCATGTGTTACTTGCGGACCGGTGACCGCAAAAGAACCACCTGCATTAACAAGGTCACCTTGCAAATTGGCATCACGAAACCACATGAGGGAGGGCTAGGCATTATCGACCCTAAACAGGAAGCGATCGCACCCCAAATGAAATGGATAATCAAAATCCTAAACAAACAAGCCCTCCCGTGGACAAAGATGGCGGTAGACGACATAAGGAGTTTGGCACCGGCAGCGTCCCCACCGAACATGAGTGGCCTGTTCTGGATCATGGCCAAGGAATGGGCAATCAAATCGGGGAAACTGGCTAGGAGAACTAACCCCGCGACCGACAATCAGCCCCCCACCACACCATGGTGCCGACTGATGCCAGAAAAGAAGGGGGCTCCGAGCAACAAAGAGGAAGTTTTAAGACAACCTCTATTCTGCAATCCCTGGATTAAAGACTCAGAGGGCACACCTTGGACCCTCCGGCCCAAAGATTGCAGATGGTTGTCTTGGGTGGAGAGAGGAGTATAGCAGGTCAAACATTTGTGGTCCGAAGACCGGAATGAATGGCTAACCGAACAGGATCTCCGCACATCCCTAAAAGGATGCCACCTACTGACCACCAACCTGTCAAAAATCCTTTGAAGAATTCCTCCCCCATTGACGACCCTCCTAAAAGACGCTCACACATGGAAACCAGGAGACTGGGGGCTCCTCATCACACAGACCCCACCGACAAGAGTTTGCCGCTTTATGTCCATACCGGACCCAACCAACTACCAGGCAAAGTTCATATCCTACCCCGTCATCCAACACAACACTTACGAATTAGAGGTCCTAAATAAAACACCACTGAATGAACAAGTAGAAACCTACCTCCTCAGGAAGGTTACCCCACAGTAAACCCTGGATATCTTCCACCCGGAACTCAGCATCAAGGAGCTGGAATTCGACCCAAAATAATGAATATGCAATCTGGGCGCCAAAGGGAAATCGAGGACAATAACGGAATACGACGTAAAACTGCTACAAGTAGGGACTGGCAGGTCCCTACTGTCCAAGAAAGGAGGAAAAAAGAAAAAAAAAGAAAAAAAAAGAAAAAAAAAGAGAAAAAGACCTTAACGGTCAAAAACGGTCACTTGGGGAGATTTATGCGTGACCAGATTCATTCTGGAATATGGCGGTTACAAAGGACGGTATAAAACGGAATACATGCATGAGGAGAAACACATGTTTTAGATGCATCCGGAGCCAAAATCAAGGCCGGATGCACTTGGGGATTGACCATTTCTTTTTCTTTTGAGTAAAGGCTAGTTGTGGGGTATTGGGGCTAAGGAATTGACCCCCATTGCAGTCCGAGTTGCAACGGACTGCATAGGGGAGAGAAAACACATGTTCTAGGTGCATCCGGAGCCAATATTGAGCCCGGATGCACTAGAAAATTTAACGCTTTATTTTCTTCTAACATGTGGGTGTAGAAAACAGCCATGACTGCAGTCCAAGAAATTACGGACTGCATGGGGATGCCAAGGCCAAAGGGAAATGGGCTACGGCAAGCCCAGAAGGCTAGAAAGGAACAATTTCGGCAAGGGGCAAGTAAAGTCGGCAAACGGCAACCGTGAGATGAGATCTCACGGCCTAGAAAAATCGGCACACGTGTAGAAATGATGGGACCACCAAGGGCAATGGGCCCCGAAAAAATAAAAACGGGTTGTCGTCCGAAATGTTGTCGGGGACCAAATGGGTCCAAATAATAAAAATCGAAAAACGGGACACGCGCCGGCAGGACCGCCGCCGGGACAAAGAAATGGAGCTAGCGTGTAGGAACATGGCGGGGACTTGGGATGTCCCAAGGGGACCATGAGCAAACACAAGGAATGATTGTGCAAGCAAGCGGCATCGTCGAGATCGAGGATCCAGACGGTGAAAAATATTAGCACCACTAGTGCAAGTACTAGTGGGAGCAAGTGGGAGAGCCATGGGAGAAAAAAAAGTGAAATAAGGGTGTTGGGAAGGCTGCCCAGCAGTCCAGGATATCTCAGACTAGCAAGGCATAAGAAAATAGAGCCTTGAGAGGCCCAACATGAGAAAAAGGTTGCCCTTAGAAAATCGAAGCAAAAGGGGCTCAAAAATGGGCAAACGGGAGCAAAATGGAGCCCCCTAGGAGCATGGGGATGCCATTATTGGAATCCGAGATTTAACGACCATGTAACAACCATGAACCTGGCCTTGAATGAGGCCCTAGGGCCTAGAAAAAGGGTACACAACAGTTTGACACTTGTCACAACAGAAATAAAAGAAAAAGAAAGAAAAATGAGAGAAAAAGGAGGGAGAATGAGACAAAAAGGGAGAAAAGAGTGGAGGAGAGTATGCTGGCCTATTGGGACCTGCACAGTAGGGACTGGCAGGTCCCAACAGTGACCTCATCCCTCCTAGAATGAGGGAGGGCAATCCGGATTGCAGAGATATGGCCCTTAGGGCCATATTTCAATAAAATCGGAATTAAAAAGTTGAAAATGAGAGAAAATGCAAGAAGGAAGTGACCGGTTTTCTTTCGGGCCATGGATCTGAGATCAGATCTTATGGTAGGGAGGAACTAGCCGTTTTTTGTGGGCCATCTCAAAACGGCTAGCTCCGGAATGGGGTGGCAACCCAAAATGGAAAAAAACAAAAGAGGAAAAATGACAAAACAGTGCATTTGGCCCAAAAAGAGAGCCAGATGCACCAAAAATTGAAAAACTAGACTTAGGGGCTCAAAATTGAAGCAAGGGCTACTAGGGGGTAGCTCGAATTATTGCTGGCCTTGGATCTCAGCCAGATCCAAGGCTGAAAATCTGCCGCCATATGGAAAAATGCTCCGGCCTACTCAAAAGAGGCCGAAACTTGAAAAAATCAAGAAAAAGGCCCACAATGCCGGCCTTTTTCTTTCAAGTAAAAATGCCCCTTGGGCACTAGGACCCAAGATGGCAGCATTTGTGAGGCAAAAAGGAGGCTGGAGTAGGCCAAGAGGCAGTCCGAGTTGGTACCAACCACTCGGACTGCATGTACTTGGCCAAAATGAGGCCCAGGTACCTTAAGGAGGGCTTAGTGAGAGAACTTTGCCTTGGGGGTACCTCGGTTCACCTCAAGGCTCATGGGGAGGCTCATGGGCTGGCCGGACTGCTGGTTTAAGCCTACATAAGCTGAGGATGCAGTCCGCCACTCTCACATTTGCATGAGGAGTGCCCATGCTGCCCAAGTGAGCTCACATGAGCATCTTTGCACTTGGAGTGAGGAGGAAGGAGCCCATGCTAGTGGGAGAGCTTAGAGGAGACTAGGA